CGGGGGGGGGGCGGAGGGGAGTTATTTTCAGGTTTTTGCTGCTCCATGTGCACAGATTACTCCACATGCAGCAACAAAAACATGAAAATAATTCCCACCTAGCACTATTTTCAGAACTGTGATCCTTCTCTTTAAAACCCCAAACATCTAGTTGGGCCCTGACTCAGTCAATCCAGACTGATAACTAAAACACAGTCCTATAGTGCTGAAGATATTCCACCCGGCTTATTTGCTATAGGAACAGCCAACTTAGAAATACAGTCTCAATTCAATGCTTCCAATTACATTTGGAAGGCCACATGCATTTTCCAATGCTACCTTATTTGTAGCCTGGCTGCCATTAAAATCTCAAACATCAACACTAGTTTTCAGCATTTCTTTAAAAAGACTCTTAACACTCTATTAACTCAAATACTTTATTTAGACCAAGATTTAAACATTTAAATTATTTACACTATTGTTCAACTCAACAGCCTCATTTCTGTAATAGGTTATTAATGTACATACTCTATTTAAACTAGTTTACAGCCCTTTATAAAAATGTACTATGTATACTCTTAAGACTATTTCTTGTTAAGCAAGAGGGAAAACCATGTTAACACAGCAGTAACAGGTTAAAAGTGTAAAAACATACTGGCACTAGTTTTGGTTAATTAAATAGAGCTCAAATATTATTCCAGTCGGTACTAGATAAAGGTCTGGTGTGATTATGTGCACAATCCAAATGCACAGAGGCCATTTTCTTATTTCAAGAGCTATTATGTACTGTGATCAGCTCCTGAACAATGCGTTCAAGGCTTTGTAGAAGGCAGCATTTCTTCTCTTTTGCCTTAACCCCCCCCCCCCCCCCCCCCCCCCGGAAATTACAGGCCATATTCAGGTCTCATTAAAACTTCTGCTTGCTTGTTGTGTTTACATACTCTTCCCTTTGTATATGGAACAGAACTGAAATATTCCTGATTAAAGAAGCCTTGACTCAAACTTCAAGGTACTGTGATATCTGAATGCAAAGAAGAGTTTGCTGCTGCTTGATTTTGGGAGGAAAAATTCTAACCTGACCATGCACTTGCATTTGAATGCCTTGGTGAGCTGGAGTGTAAGGTTTCCCAAACCAGGAAAGCTTTCATTCACATTCTGCACACAAGAAGGGACGAACAGATGAGTATATTAAACAAGCCAAATTTCATGCCCATCATGAACAGAGGTTTGTCTGGACATCTGAATGCAGCCATAGGTGCAGCCACACAGTTCTGCAAGAAATGTATACTTTTGTTTAATAAAAGTAATGCATTTCCAGTCTGTGACTAAATTCTTTCTGTCCTGTAATATCACTTCTTACACCAGTACTATCTAGGTCACTTTCCACATTACTTTTTACAAATACAAGGTGATTACATCTATGGCTGTATTTGCACAAAAACAGCTTTAAGAGTTTTACATGTTTATTGACAAATGCAAAAAACTCCAAAAGCAGATCCATAACCGCACATTTCTGTGTGTGGGGGGGGAGCCATCGACATAATGCTCACACTTGCAAGATGCTTTTGGTGGGTATAGAGACACAGGATTAACTAATGTGGCCTTGCAAAATATTAGGTGAATGACCCTGCACAAACAATGATAGCAATATTGTCTGTTTTTCAATTACAAGTGGATATAAAGACTTTCTTTATATCTTTGGAGAAATATCCCTCATACTTGTTGACTGTCAGAGATTAGCAGGTTGATGAGGAGCAGAAGTCAAATAGCAAGACTGAGCCCAAATTTGGATTCCAGATCTAATCAACACTGCAGCCTTTTCATTGGTTTAAAATATGCTGCATGTATGTGAGAATGGACAAAAGTTTCAAAATTATTCCAGCATTGGGTTAATGTTTCGAAAATTGTTCCTTATACAGGCAGGGCAGTGCTAACTCCAAAATGTGTCCTCATACTAGAAGGTACAAATAAGTCAAGCTTTTTATACAGCAGTATCAAGTGGTTTGCGGGGGTGGGGGGTTTGAGCCAAGAATTCCCCCATTAGAATGACCTACAGATTTGGTTACATGCTACAAAACAGGAACTTCTCTTTACCACTGTAAGAAAAAACACCCAGTGTAGGCCTGTCAGGAATGTAGCATTTCAAATCAGAATTATATGATCACGTGCTTCACCAAGTTAAACGTTTCTATACATTAAAAACTAGCATAACAGGGAAGTATATGTTAGAACCAGCCCACCCCACCCCCAACACAGTGGCTTGGATCCACTGGAGTTTTTCCACAGGTACAACTGTTTCTGGCCACGGATCCTGATTTTCTTGCCTCCTTCCCCCCCTCCTCCTGCAGCAGCTTGAAATCCAAAACACAGCTTTTTTTCAAGCAGGATGTTTTTGACTGGGGGAGAATCAAAGGGCTCGGCAGACACATTGGCTTGGGAAAAATGTCTCCAGTATCTCTCTCTATATATAGAATCAACAGTGAATTGGCAAGTAGGCAGAATCACCTGATACAAACACATGTATCTATGAGCAAATGGGGTTTCATTTAAAAACATCTTCTAATCTCTGAGAACTTTTTTTTAAAAAAAGAAGCCGCTGAGAAGTCATTTTACAGTGTATTGACCATATCTTTCCTCAGAACTGCTGTTTAAAGTTAACTTTATGGGGATTGATTTTTTTACTCACAGTAGGTAGAGCAAGTACTTTGAACAAATTCCTTCTGTGAATCATACCAATGGAATTTTGCTGCCTCATTTAGGCTAAATTTCTGGAAAGGCAAGTTAAGGTGCTCTTTGCTGTTTTCTGATAGCTACCGTCTAAAAATCTTTTTTTTAATTACTGGAGACAGTTTGAAGCATCTACAGTTTTATCCACCTTTAAACTAAAGTGCATTCATGCACCTTTAAAGAATGAGACCATGGGGAAAAGGGAGCAACCATTTCAGAGTGTGAATATATAAGCATCTTGTTCCTTCCTCAAAAATTAGTAAGTTCTGCATTATCTAATTGAATGCCATTAAAGGTGCTAAGCAACCTCCCCTAAATGGCAGTGTATTAAGCTTTAGGAATGCAACCCCATAGGGGAAATGGAACCAAATACCTACTAAATAGGTGGAAATTTGGTTTCTTTTTCAGTATAAGCCACTCTAAATAATTGGGGACAAAGGCAAACAGCTGCCTTTGTGAGCAACACGATATTTTACCTAGCTAGGACATCATAGTACAAATCCAAGTCTTAATTCGTTGGGTTTTTTTTAAAGTATTAAAAGAACCCATCCCTTTTGTTTCAATAATGCACTTGAAATCAATATATTTAATAAGTGATATTGTTCATCCATTTAGATGAATATCAGGATGTCAGATAACTATCAGTAGAATTATTCAGGCACATCCTGCAACAGCTGCAATTATGCAATTATACCTGCTTTCTGATTATTCAATATTATCTGTCAATTTGTGTACTACTGTAAAGATGTAAGATACCCTGCCTTTTAGTATGCATTAAGATAAAGCCATGGATATAAGATTTATTTTAAATATTTAACAAATAATTTAACTGTCAACCGTCGGCCACCATGAAAGCATAATGATTCTTCCAACATATGAACTCTACAGCATAATCACTTTATAGTACAGAATCTTTACAAGTCATCTAAATTTACATGAATTTCCCTAAAGTTTAATGTAACTTTGTTTTCAAGCAGCAGCTTTCAACAGTAATTAACAGTGCCTTTGTTTCAGAAGTTCATCAATCTGAGTCTTGTACATGTTTTTCACATCTTCAAGGTCCAACCTCAGTTCTTCTGCCTCTTCTGCTTTCTCACCATACATCTGGAGAATAGTATTATATCTCTGATCCAGATCCTAAAACAAAATGATCTGGTAGTTACCAACTTGCTCTCAACATTTGCAAGAACAAAAGGATTAACACTTTTCAGTCTGCCAGTAAGTCAAAATGTTCTAGATATAGAAAATATCAAACCTCCTGTTAGTTAATCTGCTATTTTATGCTACTGCTGATCTGGTAGCTGGATCCTGCATATATTTATTTGCCTAGCTGTAAGCCTTTTTTATTTAAATTATACATACTTCCAAATACACTTATTTAAAAAGCTCTGATGGGCTTCTTCAGAGAAGGAAGCTTCATTACAACTGGATTGTAATGTTGTCCAATGGGAAATGTTGTCATCGGCTCTGAGACCTGTTGCACAGGGGAGGGCGGGTTACAAACTAAATTAATTAATTAATTCAGAGCCAAAGCCAAACCTCTGGCAGTTTTCTTCTTCTTTTTAGTGGTGTGTTAGAGTGTGCATGTGAGAGAAACTGAGACCTGTTCTCTGGCCATAATTCCCAAAAGGAGCAGTTAGCACATCTCTCTCTCCTTCTACCATTAATCCAGTTCAGGTGCAATATATGTATACTTTCTCCCCAACAGAAGAGCATTGACGAGTTCAAGTTTCATTCAGGGTCCATCATGCAGGGTGTGTGGCCACCAGCAGAGGATTGGGGGGGGGGGATAGGATTGCCAGATCCAGGTTGGGAAACTCCTGAGGATTTGGGGATGGAGAGGAACCTCAGTGGGGTAAATGCCATACAGTACACCCTCCAAAGCATCCACTTTCTCCAGGGGAACTGATCTCTATACTCTGGAGATCACCTGCAATTTCGAGGGATCCCCAGGTCCCACCTGGAGGCTGGCATCCCTATGCAGGGATCAGACAGATCTTATCTCTATCGAATGACAGCATTAATGATTGATAATGAGTTTATAGTATTGAGCAGGGCTATTTTTGGGCAGGAACGCACAGGAATGGAGTTCCGGCTGGCTCCTGAGTTGGCCACACCCAGCAGGAACTCGTTAGCATAATAGGCCACACCCAACAGCAGAAACTCATTAGGATTGGCTACATTAGGGGTGTGTGGCCTAACATGCAAAGAAGTTCCTGCTACAAAAAAAGCTCTGGGTTTTGACAACAAACAAGGTAAACAGAATAAGAAGCAAAAGGTGTGTGTGGCCCACACTTCTGGTCACATGGGGGTGCGGCCTAATGTGCTAATTAGCTGTGCTGTCAGGGTGTGACCTAATATGCTAATAAGTTTCTGCTCTTGGGTGTGGTCTATTATGCTAATGAGTTCCTGATGGGCTTTTTCTACAAAAAAAGCCCTGGTATTGAGAGTGGATTTTAAAGGTACAATAGCTAACTCTATCGATGTTTCACAGAGAACATTAAATTCTCCATTCTATTGAGACAAAAAACGTTAATATAGGTGTTAAGTCCAATGAACAAGCAACCACAATTGATTTTCTCTGGAGAATAATCAAGTGAGTCATTTTGAGATGGTGTGACCTCACAGCACTTTCCAGCACCACCACCAATGTCCATTAACAAATCCATTTGTCATTACTGATCTTAAACAGCAACCTTCTCAAATTTTACTAAAAAGAAATGACCACCATTTTCCAAACAAGATCCATTTTTTCCATCAGAGGGCTCTGATTCAGTAAACTGTACTTCAAAAGTCTTTTAGTTTACACAGATGGCAAAAACATTTACATTAAATACTGAATACAGTTTAGGTTTCACCACAGATAAAATTCACTTACCCTTAGTTGTGTACGTAGCTTGGGTATCTCCTTTACCTTTTCTTCCAAGTCGTCATTTTGATTTGTTAATTTTACCAGCTCTTCTGCCATTACTGACCGAGTTCTTTCAAGGTTTGCGATTTCCAGCTGAGATAATAAATATTTCACAATTAGATTTTGATGATCATAACACAAAGGGTTATTACTTAACCCAGCATAATTCTGGGAAAGCAGGTTAATTGTGCTGTGGAAAATGCTTTCTTCCATCTTAATTTAGCCTGGAAGATGGCTCCCTATCTTGAGTCAGCCAATCTGGCCATGTGGATCCATGCCACAGTAACCTTGAGAAAAGAATATTATTACAATGCACTCTACCCTTCAAGACAATTCAGAAATTTCAGTTTCTCAGAAAGTTACAGCATGCTTACTATCAGGAACTCATCAAGTAATCCAGGCTATATTAGCTTGAAGGATAGGAGACAGCAAAAGTCAATATTTATGGTTGGTTGGAAACCCTTTTTTAAATTCTATCAATAACTGAGTTTTAATATTGATGTATAAAATGCTATATGACCAGGTTACACTTTGTCTTACATAAAATATATATTTTAGCATAGCTTTTATTATAAGATAGCCATTTTAAAAGGCATAATGAGTTTTATTGGTCAGCTGAATCTCCAATCTTTACAATCGCTAAACTTTTGAGCACCTGAAATGTTATCTAAGTCCCTAACAACTTCTGGAGTTAGAAATGTGACTTGATAATTAGTATGTGGCCCTGATCTGTTACCATATATAGAACAAGAAATGAGAGATGTTCAAACTGGATTCAGAAAAGGAAGAGGCACTAGAGATCATATTGTCCCCAATGCTTTTTTTGCTCCAGATGAAAGAAAACGATCCTGTAAAAGCTGCACTTGTAGGAATATGAATCAGTATTAACATCCCTTACAATGGCTGGCCTCCTCTCTCCAAGATCAGGGACAGAGGGTGTTGCTTGGGCCGGGGGGAGGGGGGGGGAGATATCTCAGTGGCACATCTGTATGTGTTTTATTTACATTTTAATAGTAAATCTGCACTGTGTGCAGACCGGCTGTTTGGAACCCGCCCTGAGCCTGCTATGTGGGAAAGGTGGGATATAAATGTAATAAAATAATTTTAAAAATAAATAAATAAGACAAAGCATCTATGCAGATATGCTTTTGTGACAGAAAGTGGCTGTTCACTGACATCTTCAGAACTACCTACTCACTTAGCAAGGAAAATTCTGCACAGTGGCTCACCATGATTTCTACCCTTCAAAGTAGGGTGAGAATTTCTGCTTTTATCAACCAAAATGTTATTAAACATGAACCCAGCATCTATCTAACCCTATGGCAAAAGTAAGATGAACTCTGGCAAAACAAGCATGGAGGGAAAAATGATCGGATCCATATTACAAGTAGTATTGTGCATGCTGGAACATGTTCCTACACATAAACGTGAGCGTGCATATGTAATACTCAGGTTACCTGTAGGTGAGAAACTTCTCCATCACGTAGTTTTAACTGTGACTGCAGATTTTCGATAATACTTGAGCCTGCTCCCATTCTCACTGCATCATAGAGATTACTCCCACTTGTAGACATTGAACCAAAGGAATGATCGTGAGAGTCGTCCTGTAAGTACAATGTGACAACTGTGAAATAGAGTCTTAAAAGAATTTAAGGTAGAATAGTACTAAAAGAATGGGCTGGATCCAGACGATAATGTCTTCTAACGGAAAGAGGGGAGCTATATTCACCAATTCCCTCCTTCCTACTGCAGATTTCCCATGTTCCCTTTCCTGTGCCCCAGAAGCAGCATTTCAGGGAGTTCTGTGGGCTGCAGCAAAAGAAGGGAGACAGGAAAACTCTGTTGTAATAACAAAAATACCTTCTAATAGCAGAAACATCTTTGGGATCCAGCCCAATGATTCTTCAATCAAAGTTAGTGATTTTTAAAAAAAAGTGAATAGCAGATGTCAAAAAACAATCTGATGTAGAGAATAAAATACTGGGTTTGGAACTGAAACACTGACTCCAAATCCCGGCTTAGCCATGGGTCAGTTACTTATCTGTCACCCTAACCTAACTCACAGGATGTTATGAAGATAAAATGGGGGGGGGGGCATTGTGGCCACATTGAACACCTCGATGTCCTTGGAGAAAATGCGAGGGAAAACCAAAATTTCAAAAACTAAATTTCAAAAAAGTCTAGGCAATGGTAGCAGCAAAGATATTTCAGTGGTTTGCAAAATTAATGTTCCAGAAACAGTAGCATTTAACCCAAAATAACAGAACTGCCTGAAACTGGTAAAAGGGGGATAAGGTCAGATTTCATCAGAAATTGAATTCTTATGGGGCTTAATCATATACTATCACAAATGTAAGCCACTTGAACAAAAGAGAACCACATTCAATTTCTAGTTACTACATATCAGCTACTACACAGTACTGTATAATGTTTTCT